TTTAGCTCTGGGTTATAACCCACCGTTTCCGTTTAACCTCAGGTATAAATAGCTCCTAATTTTATGTAAAGATCATCTTGTTCAGTAATAAATTACTTATACACTACACCGTATACCGGATCTAACAGGGGTATGAAACAAAAAGATACTGGTGTGCAGAAAAGACCAGTAAAAGGTAAAACAACAAATAAAGTTTCTCTTAAAGAATGAATGTATATATACGTCTTGACTAGACCTAAGACGCAAAGCATATTTCAAATTCATAAAAATATCGCTTTTGTTTTTATAAAAAATCGACTAAAAGAAGTTCCTATTATAAATGTTAAACATATCATACAAGTAACATGATAATTTCGAAATGAACATAATAAATTTGTATGACATTTAAGAATCAGAAAACGAGCAACAAACTTTTATAAGTAAACAATCAAAGAAAGATTTGTACGAATACGTTTGACTTATATTCTCATCTGACACTCTTGTTCGTATTCTAGTTTAATAAAAAAGAAAAAGAAAAATTCGATTCGATCAATGAATCAGTTATAAATGTGCAAATGGTAACAATAATTGTATGCTGCTATTTCATACAAAAGTTCTTTTGTTGAGAACATTGTCTTAATTGTCAAAGGTCTAATATTTATTAATGAAAAAGTTTACTACTTAAATGAATATATTATAGATTACTTTCATGGTTTGAAACAAAGCAACTCATTGAAACGTAGCGATATAAAGTTTATTGAAAGAATAAAGTTTTTCTGCGTTATTCAGTATCCAAAATTCACTATGACTGTTCTACAATAAATTGTGACTATAATAACCAGTAAAACTTTATTCGCCTACTTATCACCACTTCCCTCAAATAAATTCGTGAGCTTTGCTTGGATTTCTCTTGTACAAATTGATGATAACTAACTAGTAAAACCCTTTCGAAGATGTTTAATTTTCTAAAGCAAAGATTATGTGGATAAGGCCCGTGGACTTTCCGGAAGGGAGCGGTCGCCCATGGCCCTGATAGTCGATGTACATGAAGTGGATCTTAATCGTAGTAGCGATGTTAATAGATAAATTTTATTGTCTAACGCGTTTCATATTCCTTGGTGTTGATTGACACGATCTTTTCATAATTTGTCCCATAAAAAATGCTTTTTGTTCTCTTTTCTTCGGCAAAGCATCCCGAGAATCTCATATATGATCAGAATGAGTTTATTTTTGCAGCAATTTTAGAGGTCGAATTTGATCCAAACAGGTCAGTTCAGCTAGAATAAAAACTTGAATACAACTCTCTGATACAAAGGGTCTATTTTCATTGTAGCAGCTCAAATAGAACAGTGCTATTCGACAAATTAGGTTGCGATCAAAGCGCTGACAAATAGTTCTGAAGGAGGAGCCTTAACGCGTTCAATTGAAGTACAAATAATTGTCTACGTATAACTTGGAAAAATTTCAACAAAAAAATCAACAAAGTAAAAATCAGTGAAAAATTCCATCATCAGGCAAAGTCTCATTCTTTGTCTTGCTATAAAAAATTAATCAGAACAAGTTAATCCGATTCATCACTTCTAGTTTTGTAAAGAATTCAAAACTTTCTGATTTATCTGTGCTGAAATACTCGATGTTGCGATCATTAGGACTTATCCGGGAGTCTCGTAGATTAACGTTAGAAGTGAAGAAATTAGTGCGCAAATCGCGACTTCTTGAATATTCAATAAAACATGAGGGACGACATTTCCATTCCATAAACGTTCAAGAGAAAAGTCTGTTTAGGTTGTTCTTTTTACATCAGATGGATCATATTGAAAGAAAACCGATGGAACAGTAGACAACCATCGCAGGACATCGATGAATATTCACGTGATGCAAACGGTTCGATTATTAATTCTATTGTGTAATCTTTTTCAAGTGAAAAAAGAATCTGTCGTTTTCGAATCCACTCCAAACGTAATCTTTGGACTAAAACTGGAACGGATTAGTATCACGTTTCACGTGCATGATCTTGAATTCCCTGGATTTAGTTAAGTTTTAAAGCAGCACTGCTCAAAAAAGAGTTCAACAACAATAGTCTCCGATCGATGACCATCAACGAAAACAAAAGTTTCGAAAATAAATTTATTTTTCAGAAATAATCTCCACAAGAACATTGTCCGTTTGGATGGAAATGATGCGTACGATTGGCATCTCGGACAATTATCAAACATTGACGAATTCGAGCGATCCATTTAATGAATGTATCTATGAAAAGATCACAATGAAAGTTTTTCAAAAGATCGAATGAGAATAACTTACGACAATCGCCACAAACACGAAGATTTTTCATTACTTGAATACGTGATGGAACTGGCCGTTGAATCAGATGGATAGCAATGGCCAGTCTTTCACTGTGTCCAGAAATTACTGATTCTTCAGTTTCGTCATTCATCAGTGGGCGAGTAATCCAAGATGTGTCACACTTGTAGCCATGTTCGATCAGTTCACTTGTCAAACGTTCTAATTCAGCATAGATTTCTTCAGATTGCGGATGCGATCGATCATGAGCTCGAAATTTCTGAATAAAGACAAAAACCATTCCTACTTTGATCATTTTCTTCATTTTATTTCACTCACCACTATTTTCTCATCGACTACAGTCCAAGAAAGACCGGCCATTTTTCTCATACCGGATTGGTTCATTTTCATTCGAATATCTGATGCTGCAGACCAATCGCCACTTAAAGCATACGTATTAGCAAGAAGAACTGCTGCCGATGTGGAATAATCTTGTTGATTGTGAAAATGTGGTTGAATACGATCGAAGATTTTCTGCGCCAACGAAGGATTTCTTTGATTACGTGCAGCCGAAAGTATCGACACTGAATGAACAAAATCGAGATGATATTTGATTGAAGTTTGATCAAGAAAACTTACTATACATCGAATAACAAGGAGAATGAGATTGTTCGAATTCTGAAATTAAATCTTGTGCTTCGTCGACTAAATTCGAACGACTTAAAGCGTCGATCTGCACCAAAAAAAATGACCCAACAATCAATGAGATGAACAAACAATTATTATTTACCATTGCTGTATAAATTTTCTCTGTTCTCTCTTTTCTTGGGATATTCCTAAAGATCTCTCGCGCTTCATCAATTAGACCCGAATGAGAACACGCATTCAATACGCATACATTGATTACGTCGTCAACCTTGTCTGGTGGAATTTGACGAAAGAGTTTAACAGCCTCCATACCCATTCCGTTTAGACCATACGCATTAACTACAAGATCAATCATGATTATTAACAATCTGGCATTTAAAGAAAAAGCATTTACTCATGGCTGAGAATGACATCGCATCCGGTTTCGAAATCGTTTCGAAGATACTTTTGGCTTTGTCCACAGAACTTGCTTTTCCCTAAATGTAATCGAACTAAATTAATCAATTTGTTAAATTATTCGTTACTCACCCACATATTGATCAGTGCATTTTGAATTTGAATATTGCCTAAAAAGTTTTCTGGCATTGTCAAGATCACTGATTCACATGTTGAAAGATCACTCAGCTGTGATAGTGCATTGATTACTAAGACCCAAATAAGATCATCGACTTCAATCTTCTTTCTCTTCATTTGTTCAAACAGAGCTAAAGTCTTTTCCGGTTCATTTCTACTATTATACATTGTCATCATCGATCCGTATGTAATAACGTTTTTGTTCAATCGAGCAAATAACTTCTCAGCATTTTTAATATCTGAACATTTGATGAACATGTTAAGTACAGCATGAAGAACTTTGTTATTTTTTTCATGAAAGTCGGTAGTTAATCTCGAAAACATCTGTTTGCCTAAGTTCAGCGCTTTCTCGTCTCCCAATTGTGCACAAGCACTGAAAAATATGATCAAATTCACTTCGTCTGATTTGTCAGTTTTGAAGAAGAGATCGATTGCATCTTGTGCTCGATTGTTATTGACATAACCTGGAGGACAAACAAAATAAACTCGACAAAATAAAAACAGTCATCGCAGCGAGCAGTAGCGTACGCAGAAATTTTTCAAAGAGTGGGCCCCTAATAGGCTTTTACAAAAACTAGCAGTGTGCAGTAACTCTTTTACTTGCACTCACCAAGGGAACTTTGGTGAGTACGAGTAGAACGAGAGAGTCTCCCAAGCGTCCGATCGCTTTTTGATTCAGGCTATATTTCGATGACAGGCCACAGTGAGTAGTGTCGAAGCCTAAGAGGGTTCGATTGTCTGGGTCAACGAGAGAATCGAATTTCGAGTTTTGACTTGAAACTTTGAACAAATGGAGTTACTGATTGTAGTGCTTCGTACTCTGAGCTATCAGTATAAAGAAGAATAATTACCTTTTTTCATTAGAAACTGTTTGGTGTCCATATCTCGGGATAGGATGCATCTAAATCAGTGAAACAACTAGTTCTAACTTTCTTGGCTTTAATGGTCTTTCAGCAAAATGTTGACAATAAAACAAAACCTGATTATTCATCAAAATTAGGACGAACAGAACTATTTCAACAGAAATTCGGGCTCGCTGCGATAATGTGAATCAAAGATGAAAATTGTCTTACCCGACATCATCACACCGTAAGTGGTGGTATCCTTTTTCATTTGGGAAAAAAGTTTTTCACCCATCGCAATTTCTCCATTTTGCATGAGCATATGTAGAGCTGAATTGAAAACAACTGTATTAGTTTGATATTGGACAGGAATGTTTTCTAATAAGTTTTTGCCAAATTGAATCGAATTCTTGTCACCAATTTGTGTACAGATCTTGAAGAGAATGGTGAATGTATATTCATTTGGTAGAACAGTCATTTGTCGAAATAGATCGAGTGCTTGTTCACCACGATTATTATTGGCGAGACCTAAATGACAGATAAAAGAATGTTTGTTCGAGATTGTAAAACGAAAAACGAAACTCACCATTAAGCATTGCATCATAAACGATCGACGTTTTGGTCTGAATTTTAACGAAAAGCTCTTGTGCCTTGAGCAAATCACCAAGCTGGAAAAATGCATTGATGATTAAGACAAAAATTTTATCGTTCGGTTCGATCTTTTCCATCTTCATTTGTTCGAATAGAGTCAATGTCTTTTCTGGTTCATTTCTACTATTATACATTGTCATCATCGATCCGTATGTAATAACGTTTTTGTTCAATCGAGCAAATAACTTCTCAGCATTTTTAATATCTGAACATTTGATGAACATGTAAAGTACAGCATGAAGAACTTTGTTATTTTTTTCATGAAAGTCGGTAGATAATCTCGAAAACATCTGTTTGCCTAAGTTCAGCGCTTTCTCGTCTCCCAATTGTGCACAAGCACTGAAAAACACGAGTAGATTCACGTCATTCGGCTTGCCAATTTTGAAGAAGAGATCGATTGCATCTTGTGCTCGATTGTTTTTGACATAACCTTGAAAAACAAAAATAAAACAATATGGACAAATAAGAAAGAAAAAATTTCTCTTACCCGACATCATCACACCGTAAGTGGTGGTATCCTTTTTCATTTGGGAAAAAAGTTTTTCACCCATCGCAATTTCTCCATTTTGCATGAGCATATGTAGAGCTGAATTGAAAACAACTGTATTAGTTTGATATTGGACAGGAATGTTTTCTAATAAGTTTTTGCCAAATTGAATCGAATTCTTGTCACCAATTTGTGTACAGATCTTGAAGAGAATGGTGAATGTATATTCATTTGGTAGAACAGTCATTTGTCGAAATAGATCGAGTGCTTGTTCACCACGATTATTATTGGCGAGACCTAAATGACAGATAAAAGAATGTTTGTTCGAGATTGTAAAACGAAAAACGAAACTGACCATCAAGCAGAGCGTTGTACACGGCAGGTGTCGTATTTTGACTTTCGTGAAAAATTTCTTGTGCCTTGGAAAGATCACCGCACTTCACTAAGATGAGAGAAGATTGAGAATATTTCCAAACAGAAAAAACAAATGATTTACTGTAGAGACGAATGAGATTTGTTTGAATGAAAGGATTCTTTTTTGATTGAGCAGATAGACGTCGATGAATATCTGATCCTCGTTTCAAATCGACTAATTCGACACATGCCTTGAGAGCTTGATTGATCGCTGCATTCGTAGGTATTTGATGTTCAACGTGAGTTTCGAATAAAGCGATAGCTTTCTGATATTGTTTATTATCATTCAATTGCTTTATCTGATTCGTGAAATCGACGAATGTCGATATCAAACGACGAGAACCAAATCGTGAAAGAAAGAACACCTGGAACGAAACAGAGATTAAGTAACAAAACAAGAACTCGAATCAAGTTTAATCTAAGATCTCGATTGAGATGATTTTCTGTTCGAATTGAATCGATCATTTTTTCACTCTCATTGCTTAGCAACGCGCACGTTACAATCATTACGATTGATTTCTTTTGTTCGTCAGCTGAACGTGCCAAATGGTGTCTGCCGAATGATCAAGCAAAGCTATGAGAACACTGGTTCACAAATCCTATGATTGTCTGTGATATTCCGTAACTGATTACAGCAATTTTCAGAAAGACAGAGTTACAAAGAAGATTTTGATCGATTTAAATCAAAATCGTCGATATACAATCTAACTCTTAACCGAATTGAGCTAAATGACAGTTCTTTTACGTATCATTTTCATTTTGAGCATGACATGAACATCTGCAATGCATGCGGAGTGATGATTTGATGATCGACGTCTTCGACTGATCAAGTACGACAAACTGATCAACTCATTCAAAACGTTTTTATCTTGATGAATGCAAACAAGAAAGACTGAAAACAATGAATAATTCTTCAAGAAGCAAGCCAGATAAGCTTATGCGTGGTTTAAGTCACGGTGTCCAAAAATGATACAATCCTCAATTATACAATGATTCCAGAAGGATCTGCCTGAAGTTTGTTTAAAATTTGTACAACAATTACAATTGTAAGGAAGCACAATCATCTCCCATTGGAAAGCATATTGTGCTTCCTTCATCCGCAGAAGTTGTTTACAATGGAGTTTTGAATATTTCTCTACTATCCATTACAGAGAACATTATAACAGTAAACTTACAGACAGTTGCTCAACAAAGTACCCACCGAGTACCACCTGTTGCTGCGAAGTATCATTACCGCTATCCGTCTTCTCGAAGCAGTGAATTGATTCGTTGGCTACAATCGATACTGTACCGTATGCTAAAGAAACAATTCCGAACATCCTGATTTTATTAGGGCAGCACCAATCTTTCTGTTAATGCGTGTAAATTCTTCGTTTCATAAAAAAGCGGACAGATATTTTCATCAAACAGATATTTTAAGAATTTGAAGAAACCGCATGCATTGCAGATGTTCATGTCATGGTCAAAATGAAAATGATACGTAAAAGAACTGTCATTTAGCTCAATTCGGTTAAGAGTTAGATTGTATATCGACGATTTTGATTAAATCGATTATCACTTTATAAAGGTCTTTCTCAAAATGTTTTGCAATTTTTTATTTATATCAACGTTAAAATGCTTCATTGATTTCGTCCAAGAATATTTGTAGCTTTAAGTCTATAACTATTCTCAAATACTATGGGATAATTAATCGTATATGTTAGTTGAGATAGACTATCTATCCTGGGTTGTCAAACTTTCTTTTTTGTTCACTAATTAATGTTTATTACTCATTAAAACAGTTTTACGCATGTTTCCTTTCTATCCTTCTTAATTTCTTTTTTCTATCCTTTCTCAATTTCTTTTCTTTTTACTTTTTTTTATAAAGAAAAACGAAACCAGAAGTACATAAAAAGACAAGAGTTAAGCAGCAACCAACTGGGATAAACATCTTGATCTATCAAATTGGTCTGATAAGGAAAAAAACGAACTTCTACTTTTACTTTTTATTGTTTGCATGTCAAAATGATGTTTATTTAAAAGAATGAACAGTTGTACATGACAGAGATCAATAAACTTGTCTACATGCATGTACACAATCTTTTATCGTGACTGGAAAATAAACGCCCGAACAGATGATCGGTGTCTAAAAGAATCAGATCGTTTGATAGAAAAACTTCTTTTAACATTTTAAAACAATGATCATGCAAACGATCTTAACACAAACGGTTCTATATATATTTATATATATAGAACCAATTTGGTTCTGGTATATATATACTAGAACCAAATCGGTATATATATATATATACATATATGTATATGTATTCACGTATATGAGTGAAGCGCATAGCCATTGTACCGTTTGAGAAAAAAAATCGAAAAAAATAAAGTTGCCAATAAAAAAAAACTAAGTAATACATTCGATAGAGCTATGTCGACTGTCCATGAAAACAATGTTTTCCCGACACTTTCTGGTGTTCTGGTGGAGATTTATGGTTATAAACTAATTCTAGTGGGTGGTAAAAGTTTTTTAGCAAAAAATAGTTATTTGTTTACAGAAAATACTTACTGTCATATATAATTCGACAGATCTCGATGAGATGAATTTGGTGCGGTCCATACCATTTATTATCAGTACCCGACTCTCAAGAAATAAGTTAAAACTTTTATTTCAAATCGTTCATCTTATTTTTTTTAATCCTTTATCTAAAACAGCAGATGCAAAAAAATCAGAGCCATTAGTATAGCCGACGTTTAGGTCAACATGTATTTCGTGTATTCCGATATAGTTCAACAAGATGCTTCGACTGCTACAGTCAGTGACGGCTGTCAAGTAGACTTTGTCATCACAAGGCTCCTTCACAAATTCACTAGAATAATTCGTTTTTTAAGCCCGTGACATACGCCGTTGAGATGTCTATAAAAGTAAACAAACTTGACAGAACGATGGAACATCTCACAAAGAACCGATTTCTGTATGATATGTTTATGTGTCGTCCAGTTTTTATGGGAAAATACTCGCAAAAATGTCGCCCTACACTTTTTCTCACAAAAATGTCGCTCTACATTTTCGCAGTAAAATCAAATTTTCTCACGAACGATAAAATATTTTTACTTGATTTTTTGATATATTACTCTACTCCATAAGCCTTAAAAATGGACAAATTTTTGTGTAAAACGGTTTAGTTTTTATTAAGTTATTACGATAACAAAATTGAAAATGTCGCCCTACATTTAGTGTGAAAAAAAATTTTTTTGATTTTGCACGAGCCTTTTTGACTTATGGAGTAAATGAAACAAATTTCTTTTTTTGCCAGATTGTTATGCTTCCAATTCTGCTACTGATCCACTAAAAATGCTTTTTAAAGGTACATTCAAAAGTAAGGGCACAGATTTTAATGTCGCCCTACGCAAAAACGAAGTGTCTTGCCGCGTACTGGCCACAATTTTTCATTCATAAAAATTAGTGTGGGACTAAAATCAATTACATATTCTGGAAGATCTCGACGAGTTCTATAACTCTGACTTGAAAACTGAGCGAGAAAAACGGAAACTGACAGAAAAAAAACGGTTTTCTTTCGATATGTGGTGCTAAAACCAGGGTTTTTGAGAGTGTCAGTTTCTCCGGAACTAAAAAAGATGGAGACTTGATTTTTTCAAAAGTGAATGACCAAATCTAGCCAAGCAAAATAAAAAAAAAATATCAAAATCGGTTGAGTATATGCTGACTTATAGACAATACACTCTTCTAGATACAACGGTACAATGGCTATGCTCTTCACTCATATGTAACTGTATAAACTCAAAAAAATATGTTTCCAGACATACAACTGTTGAACATCGATAGAGCTTCAAAAAAAAGAAAAAATCTAATTAGTTCTGTTGACGTTCTATGTACACCCATTGCATCGTTGTCAATCTATCTGATGATAGAGTGAAAGATGCGCTTAGCTCTTTTCAGTGGCATCCAGATGTAAGGAACAAAAATAACAAGAAATCATTGACAACTGTTCCTTCCAAGAAAAAGTAACAAAGAGACATATAAAGCAACGTCAATACACAATCCAACTAGAATAAAAAGAAGACCAAACAAAAAATAGCAGAGATGAGATGGAACAATAATAACAAACATAGTTTCATTAAATGAGAAATATGTGTAAATGATCGTGTCCATTGTCGACAATTGCTCAGTGTTTTCTTTTCTGGTTTCCTATTCCTATCAATCGATTATGGCACATCAATCATAGAGAATTCTGGTAATTTCACAAAACTAATGAGATATAATGCATTAAAAACAACTTGTAACAGTACTATACAGGAGTTTTATTATCACTTATAGATTCTAACACTTGCATAGAATATTATTTGCCAAAATTACACATTATCTCACTTCATGATAAATTCAAACATATTGAATACTGTCCCGAATTTCATTGAACCTCAAACTTATAAAAGTCTCAAAGTGGTGAGAAGCGACTAACATGATCTTTTGACACATTCCGTGCACAATTTACACTGGATCTTATTCTTACGATTACTTAAAAATCACTATTACTACATATGTAGACAACAAAGAAAGCTGTTTACATTACTCACCGTTATCATCACAAACGTTAAAATTTAACTTCTTCGGTGACACTAAATCTAAAAACAGTAGAACTTTTATATGTTTATTCTAAGAGAAAAATA